TATTTCTTAAACAACTGTGAAATAAGTTGAGAAAAGCTGTCTTCAATAGAATAACGCTCCCATGAGCCCGCAATGTAATGTTTCATAGTGTTAAAAACTTAAGAAAGGAAAGACTAAGACAGCTTGGCTGAATATAACCCAAGGACGAATGATGCAGAGGTGCGCTAGGATACCCTTACTCTGTTAACAGAAATGGAAAGCAACGGTGATCGCGCGATATAAAATAATGGTTCAAGATAACAAACAGTGAAAGAACTGGCAGATTCAATATACATGGAGAAAAAGAATAAACAAGATGCCCATCCATTCAGCGATGAGGAATCGCATTGAGGCCAAAAATCAGTAGTTTGGGCCATACTTCTCGTATCTATGGAGAGCTTGATAAATACGAGATATTGACCGAAAATGATCTACGATCAACATCTTTACTCTCATCGTCACGATAGAGGCCTCTGGTGCTGAGGGAAAAAAGAGAAAAATTGAGGCCTAATGGAAAGGAAATGTAACCTGTGTAGAAGATAGACTCCTTAAAACCTCGAAAATTATTCTCTTTCCCAATGAAGGAAAGATTTTACACATTTAATAACCAAGTCTAGATGGCTCATCTCTTGGGTCACTATTTTATATTTGCTGGTGCATATGCCGATAAAAGGCAGAATGATTAAGATTCAAAGGTTTGAACACTAAACAATATATCGAGAGCATCGAATCAAAGAACAAGGCTAGGCGAGTATACACATTTTAATAAACCGAGTGCATGTGTGCATGCGCCATGCACATGAAAAAATTTGAGCAAAGAAGTCAGAAAAGCTATAGAATAGGGTGGCTGACAGTGGAAGTAGCTGACAGCAGATTCCCGCATTTATCACAAATGAACACAACCAAGACAGTTTTAACTTCCTCATGGCGAGCATGATGTAGCAGAGATTTAGTAGAATCAAGCAAACTATTGGCAAGATGAAGTCCTAAAAGTTAACATAATTGTTTGTATGTCCGATTATGCACCGAAAGGTTAAGCTATGGGGCTCAAATGGAAAGCAAAGGAGAAATTAGGTGAAAAATGAATTTAGTATGGCGAACGCAGGAAAGAAAGCATAAGTATAGGAAGAGGTTAAATCAGATCAGAATTACTGATCGTTAAGCAACAATTTCATAGGACCAAGGATTAGGCGGAGTATAAAGAGACAAAATTAAGGTAAATTATAAAAAAGGACGTCAATGGGTAAATGGATAAATAGGGCTACCCCGTTTTTAGTAAAGAAAATGCACGGATAA